CCAGCATACTCTAAATGGACAAAAATTGGAACCAATTCCCCTGAAAACTGGAACTAGACAAGGATGCCCACTCTCTCCCCTCCTGTTCAACATAGTATTAAAAAATATTTTTTAATGCAGAACCTGGTACAGGGAGCAGTTAACAAATGATAACTGCTAATAATCACAAAGGATTTGAGTAACTTGTACAAGGTCATAGAGCAAGTTATTATCGTCTAAGTAAATACTCGGCTGCTATCTCTTGACACCAATAAATCGAGAGGCAGGGAACTGGTGGAGAGAAGTTTATTTCTGAATTTGAATTCAGGGAGCAGAACCTGGCTCCTAGCATCTCTGGAACTGGTCTGCTCGCCACTTAGGTTTCACAGTTCGTTTTTATAAGTTTAGAGTTTCTGGTGCCTTTGCATTGACTATGTAACTGACAGAGCATTGCATAGAACTCAAGTTACAGCTGCATTTTGTTAACAGTAACATTTATGATCTGCATTTCCTGGCACCAGCTACCAAAAAACAGTTCATAGTAACACCAAACTGAAGAGTTGAGCAAGTTTGCCACGGAATAGCGGAGTTAACAGAGCCTATTACAAAGTAACACATTATTCACTACAACATGTTGATAATTAGTAGTTATAACATGCAAAAAGTTATATAAATTACAAGGCATATAGTTACATGGGTGTTATATTTTCAAACCTATGATCACTAATAAAGGGGAATAAATAGGGATTCATTTCTCTCAATTGAGTGAGCGCAGTCTGCAGGGGTTAAGTGTTCTTTGAAGTGACTTGACAGGGAATGTATAGGAGATAAGGGAATAGACTTTCTTTTGCTAATTCTCAGGAATGTAGATGCCCACAGGACCACTGGAACGTTATGCCTTTAAGGGTTGTGGCATACGGACAGACAATAGTGGGTTTCCTTATTATTGTAAGTGGTAAAACCAGGGTTTGAACTCAGGTCTTTCTGACCCCAAAGCCTGGGTTTTTTCTGTTATACCTCTTTGCAAGAGGAAACAGATTGTGTCATTAAAGCAGATTAGGGTTTGTTAACCCCTTAGCAAGGCTGCCTTCATAATTAGTCACTTGAGGTCTTCGGGTATCTAAGAATATTTTTGATCTTCTTTTCCCTTCTCCCTCAGCTTTCTAAATTGCTATGAACCATGGCCCAACTGTACTACAAAAAGGTCAACTACTCGCCATACAGAGACCGCATCCCCCTGCAAATTGTGAGGGCTGAGACAGAACTCTCTGCAGAGGAGAAGGCCTTCCTCAATGCTGTGGAGAAGGGGGACTACGGCACTGTGAAGCAGGCCCTACAGGAGGCTGAGATCTACTACAATGTCAACATCAACTGCATGGACCCTCTGGGCCGGAGTGCCCTGCTCATTGCCATTGAGAATGAGAACTTGGAGATCATGGAACTACTGCTGAACCATAGCGTGTATGTGGGTGATGCACTGCTCTATGCCATCCGCAAGGAAGTGGTGGGTGCTGTGGAACTTCTGCTCAGCTACAGGCGGCCCAGTGGAGAGAAGCAGGTAAGAAAATCCCCATAGCTTGGGAAATGCCAGGAACAAGAGGGCATCAGGGCCAGAAATCTTAAAACTAGGGAAGATTAAGTAGTCTGGAATTGAGAATCTCTATCTTAGAAATTCTCATCGGTGATATCCTAGAGCTACCCTGCATGGCCCACACTGAGTTTTACTCATTTGCCTTTTTCTTATTAGTACTTGCCCAAATACATTCAATACTCAACAACCTAAAGGTGTGCTCTTCATTTCCAGAATATTCGAGCTCCTTCTACCCTCCCTACCTCCTGCTTTTTGTCTTCATTTTCTTCCTCTACCTAAAGATTTCATTCTAAAAAAGGAGAGACCAAACACAAATCTGAGCTTTCTCTTCACCAGCCTCTCTCCTAAAGACAAAACAGGATGCCTTTAAACTTGAGTGCCATGTTGCAGATGCAGTAACTGTCAAGTAACTGTATTCCAACCCTAGATGTCTGGGATTTTGCTTCTGTGACTCCCATATCCCTCAAGGCATCTATGTTTGATACTCTGAGGTCATCTTTGACTCATCCCTCTCTCTTGTCCCCATATCCAATCCCTACACCCTGTGGTTCCTTGCGTCCCAGTATCTCTTAAGTAGTTTTTTTTTTTCCACTCTAGCCCAGCTTTCACATTCTAGCTCTGGTTCACATCATCTCTCTCTTAGATAAGTGCTTCCTAAAGTATGGTCCCTGGACTAGCAGTGTCAGCATTACCTGGAAAGTTCCTAGAAATGCAAATTCTCAGGCTTGTAGGGATTCTTAGGCCTCAGACCTACTGAATCAGAAACCGTGAGGAGGGGTCCAGTAAGCTGTGCCTTAGCAAAGCCCTCCAGGGGATTTTGATGTATACTCAGATTTGAGGACCACTGTTCTAGACTAATATAAAACTCTTCTAAGTTGCTCTCTGTCTGTAGCCTCTTCCACTATCTCGAGAAATCCTGAACAATGATGCTGATTTATTCTCCCTAAAATAATATAACAATCCTGTCATTCCTGTCCATCCTTTTGTAGCTTCCCTCCCACTGTCTAAAGGTTCACTGAAAATGAACTTACAATAGGCAGGTTAATAGAAGAAAAAAATTATTAAAATTTAATAATATACATATGGACATGGGAGCTATACACCAAGTATAAGACTCAAAGAGAGGCCAGATTATTAAGGGTTAAATACTCTCTTCATGGGGGAGAGATGTATGGACCTGGGAGGCAGACACTCTCTTTGTAAATGATTGTCTTTTGAGGCTGAATGGTACTAAAAAGTTAAGGGAAGTTGAAGGGCAGGACTGCAAAGGAATAAAGTTTATCTTGTTAAGTAGATAAAGGTCCCCAGGTAATTTCTTGGAGCCACCCTCAGAAGAATAGATGAAAAGTCTGCCTGGGTGTGGTGATGATTCCCAGTATCTTCAGTGTGTAATCTTTCCAGGTTATTTGATAAGATTTCTAGAAAGGAGGTCTTAAGACAATTCCATGTCTTTTGTTAAGAAGCATTTTCAGTCAAATAAGGAAAGTCCAGAGAGTCCCTCTGGGTTATTTGAGAAAGAGGATCAGAGAGACATAGAGATGGGGGAAGGTCATAGGGAGAGAAGGCTTGGTTCTGAGGCTTAATTCTAAGGCCTTCTGATTTTCAAAGCACTCAGCATGTTGAAGTGCCATATTTGAGGGAGTCATTTTCTGCACCTCAACACTTGAAATAACTACAATGTCTCCTCATTAGAAGAAAAACCAATCCATGAAGCTAACACTCAATATGCTTCATGCAATGGCCTTTTTCAGTGCCATCTTCTAGTCCCTTCTAAACTCCCCTCAAATCAGACAGGTTTCTTCACTGTCTCTCTTCTTTAGGAGAATAACATTGGGCACATAATAGTAGTGACAATGAAATACTGAATCATCAAAAAATAGAAATAGTATATAGCAAAACCAAAATTACAAAGTTCTTAGAAATATTTATAATGAAAATAGTCAACATCAAATTGATGATGCAAAAATTCCAAGTTTGCCAAATGTTCTTGAAGAGGTTTATTCTGAGCCAAAATATGAGTGACTAGGTCCAGGACCCACCCTCACGAAGTCTTGAGACCACGTGTCTGGGGTGGCTGAATTGCAGTTTGGTTATATACTTTTTAGGGAGGCAGAAGTTACAAAAATCCATAAATCAATATATGTGAGATTTTATTTGGTTCGCCCTGGGAAGGTGGGACATTTCCAAGCAGGGGCTTGTAGGTTATGGGTGGATTTAAGGATTTCTTTTCTTTCCTTTTTTAAACTTTATTTTATTATAGAGATGTGGGGTACAAGTCAGGGTGAGGTGCATAAGTAATCTACATGCAGATGAAGTTTGAGCCGCCAACCGATCCTCACTTCCACTGGTTTAGGACAAGGTACCCATTATGTTGCCACATACCACCCCCCTCCAGCAGTGCCCCACTACTGCTGATCCCTCCCTTGTGTTATTATGGTTAGTGTTCAGGTCCCACTTATGAGTGAGAACATGTGATATTCAGTTCTCTGTTTCTGTGATAGATTACTAAGTATGATTGTCTCAAACTCCATCCAATTTGGCAATTTGTAAGTCCTAGCTAAGGAATTTTGGAAATCAGTAAAGGGGATGTCTGTTGAGATAAAGGGCCAGAAAATCTCCAGGTCTATGTTGATGAAGTCCTATATGTGACAGACTTTGATGAGGATAGATAAGTGTCTTACAAAGTTTTCTGAAGTCTGGGAGTCCCCAAGAGACAACTTTGCAGGATCATATGCCACTTTAATTTCTTTCTTTATCTGTTTTGTAATGTTATGCCAGAGTCAGTTTGGAAAACAAACTTCAGTATAAAGGTAACTGGGAAATAAAACCCTGACTGCTGAGTCATTATCAGGAATGACTCCCCAAACCTGTTAGTTAGGAATTTGAATAAGAGAAGAAAAATAAAAAGCCAGAGTTTAGTCCTCAAAATCTTATGGGATATGGCCAAAGCTGAGTTTAAAGGAAATTCATAGCTTTAATACTTGCCTAATTATACAAAAAGAAATTTCAATAAACTAAATTATAACACACAGACTAAGAATTATAATTGATAGAGCAGAAAACAAGATGCTATATTAATAAAAGTTCCTTGAGTAAAGGGTCTGAATCTTCCCATTCCCCATCAGCAGTTAGCCCAGTGCCAAGCAAGTAGAAACCTTGCCTCTTATGTTCACTGCTATATTACATCACTAGAAAAGTTTCTAAAGCATCACAAGCTCTCAATAAGTATTTCTTTAGTGAATGAATAATATGCAACCAGCACTGTGCTAAGCACCTTACATGATTTACTTCATTTAATATGCAAGCAACTCTGCTGACACTATTATCATCCTCATTTTACCAATAAGAAAAATTGAGTCACAAGATGGTTAGATCAATTGTCAAAGTCATAATTAGTAAATGTCAGAGCCAAGATTCAAACAAATGCAGCCTATCTCCTGAAACCACCCTCTCAACCACTAGGTCATACTGCTTCCCTAGCAGTCTGAGTATGTATTAGGATTCCCATCCGAGATAAGGTAGATCCATGGAAGATATACAGGCCCTCTAGAAAGGACAGGCCTGAAGGGTGTGAATGAATAGCAAAGCAGAGAGGTGTGAATATGTTTCCTTCTTGGTCCATCTCACCATCTCCATCAAAACTGATTTGTTCTGTGCCTCATTTCCTGTCCATCCTCTTGCAGCTCATTGGTTTCCGTGCCTCCACCATCAGTACTAGCACAGTGTCTAGTACATAATGGATGATGTATAAATATTTGCTGAGAAACATGAAAGAGTTAAGTGTATCTTCCAGGAAAGCAGATGACTTGTGATTTAATGAGACCTTCTGAACTTTCATAATCCACCTGATTTTCTTCATAAGTGTTTTGAGAAAGAGGAGATCACAGGAGAAGTTCCAAAAGGAAGCTAGTTATGCCAGCCCTATCTGAGTTTTGAAAGGTCAAGTCCTTATTCGATAGCCCCCTTTCCCCCCATTTTTCCTCAGTGCTTTAGCAAAAGCTGAGGCTCTGCTAGTCAGGAGGAAAGGTACCAGGTAAACTTATACTAAAGTGGAATCAAGGGCAGAATCTTTTCTGGGAAAAGGCAGTGCTTAAATTATAGGAACGAATCACTAATGGTGCAAAGTCAGACATATATAACCTGGGTGAAGCTATTTGGGGCAGGCAGATTTTTACCAGAACCTTTCATACACACTGCCAATATAGGACCTCCTTTGGGCATATTTGTATATCACACTGTATGAAGAAATCCACAAAGCCATCAGCTCCATTCCCAAGTCTCTTCAGCAGCCTTCTCCTCACTTTCTTCTATCTCCCTCAACCCCCACTACCAGCTTCTGCTAAATTTCATTTTCTTGCATTGTTCTGACAATCGCTGTGATAAGTCATATGTCAGTAACTATAACAACAGGCTGCCACAGTGCTGGAGCTCTGCCTTTGTAGGAGATAGAAATAAGGTTTGTTTACCTGGGAGCAATCAGGGATGTGAGCAAACATGGGCCTCCTGAAGGACCTTGGGTTCAGATGGGCAGGCCATTCTCAGAAAGGCCCTCCTCCCATACATGGAATTCAAACATATATGCTCTTTCACTGAGGCCCTCCCTTATCTCTCCAGGATATTGGGCACAGCTGACCTCCGTCAATCTTGAGAGGATAAACCAGTGCCCTCCTTGGCTTTACTAGGCAAGGTCTTTAGCTCCAGGCTGGTAGCAAGAACCTCTCTGTCCCTTCCTTGCCCCAGCCCCTTGTGCTCGTTCCCTTCTTCTAGTCTATCAAAACTCTCTCAGATATCAGAAGCCAGGCATAAATGGCTGACAGTGGCTTCAAATATCAACACACATATATAGACAGACCACCATTTTTAATAAGGATCAAATCTTAAAGTAAAAATGGGGATACTCTATCAGATAGCATATTCAGCACCAGAGAGGTGGGGGAGCGGTGCGCGCATGCGCACATGCAAGTGCA